ATTTCTTAATATGAAAGAAATTAATACAAAAATATTTAAAATATAACGTATTAATTATATATAATATATAACGCATATTTAGAATTGTTTTTTTGAACTTACATGTAAAAATTTTGGATTTATATAATTCGGAAATATTTCAAGTTAATGAAATGCTGTTTAAAAGAATAAAAGTATGTCCAACTTATTTCCTAAACTACTCTCACATTTCGTCAATTTATGTTTTATCATACCTTTATGTATTCTTATAGTTTAAATCCTTGATTATGGACTATAAATAAGCAAAATATGCAAGTTTATATTGCATCACGTTGTTTAATTGTTTGTGACATTTTTTTCGATAGGAGGTGGCATCTTATCCGTATATATAGGGGGAAGATGCCACTTTTGCAGGGTATGCCATATCAATTTTTTTTAACAATACGGAACCTCAAAAGTTTAATTCATTGATTTGTATGAATAAAGAAAGATTGAATAAAAGATAGAATATAAATAATATATTTTTTCGTTCGTTAATTCAATAACATTAAGAAGTTATTCAAGAATAAAGGCTTAAGTGTGGCGTCTTCCCACCAATGACCTTATATATTTATTTTATATAGAGAGTAAGACATTTTTTTTAAATATTGATACATCCATCTTCGTGAGTTTTGTAAATCTCGAATGACGAAAGCAAGTGGCTTCTAATTAAAGTGGACGAGATCTGTGCCTCGTTAGTACATATCGAACTCGCAGTTAGTTGATGCACCTATGAAATAGATTTCACGACATCGGAATCAATCAATCGTCGGCTGCAGATCGATGAGATCCACTACTATACCCTATAATAATCTAGCGATACACAATGGCACCAATTAATCACGCGCATGAGCCGCGTGGAAAATCGGCGACAAGGGGGAAAGGGGGAAAGATCCTAACGAGCGCCGATCTCTCTCTCTCCCTCCCTCCCCCTTGCGTACTTTTCGATCCTTTTGCTTGCGCGCGTATGCGTGCACGCGTGCGGTTCGTATGCACGAGTATGCGAAACGCATCCGCCTATCAACGGGAGCCCCGAGTGTGTCGCAATCGCTAATGGCCTAGCGGGGTTGGATGGTCCAGTGATTAATTGTGTCACCCGTGATTACATTACGGACGCTGCGGATCCACTATATTATATACGGTTATACGTGCGTGTAGCGGGCGGATTGCGCGTTACGTACGTGCCGTGCGTGTTTGCCGGACGCCCGAGGAAACGCGCTTGTACGTGCTTGTAACAAGTCGGCCGCGACAGGGATGGTAGAAATGCGCACGGTGATATGTCCGGCCGCGCGGACGTTCGGTCTTCGCTAATCCGCAATTGCAAGGTACATCTCGTACCCAGATGACGCATGCGAAGAAACGCCTCGCTAATGCACGACACCCTGTTCGTTCGCTCGCTCGTGCGAATATCATGGGCTTTTCGTATTTACTCGCTTACTCGCGATGCTCACCGGTCTCGTTGACGTTCGCACCCATCTGAGAGCATCCCCATGCACGTATTTCATACTCCATAATCTGTACGCGCAGCTCCATATTTCCGGGGTGGTTCGTGAGTGGCGTGTGTGAAACGGGGGGAATTCCTTATTTAAATGTGAAACGAAAATCTTTCTGGAAGAATTTTCCCATATTACGCGTAATGGAAAAAAAGAAAGATCCTTCCGCGAATTAATCTTTCAAAGGTGCTGAATTGTGAATAATTTTTATTCCAAGTCCCACAGTTAAAAATATGACATTGTGTATGGTAGACATTCCGTGACATTCTTTTGTAACAACTACTGTCTCAGACATAGTAGAAAAGGATTCGCTTTCATATTACGATAGTTGTGTATTACTCTCTAAATTTCTTGGAGCAAAGTCTTACTAAAAAAAAATGAAAATACCGTTATTACTGAAAAATTTTTATTGTGAAAATATTTGCATTCTTAAATAAGAGTTTTTTTTGTTTTTTTATTTTTTTTAAAGTAAACTTTCAATCTTTTGGAATAAGATTTACTCCAGCAAAGGAAGGAAGTCTTACTTCTTTTTTGAAATGAATCTTATTCCAAAAGATTCAAATCTCATTCAAAAAAGAAGAGTGAAAATCTGCTGTTCTTATTCAATGATACAAACATTTCCACTCTTTTTCAATAGTGGCAGTATTTTCATTCTTGAAGTGAAATTTTACTCCAAGAAATGTAGAGAGTAATACACAGCTATCGTATTATCGTAATATAAAAGCGAATCCTTTTGTATGTCTGAGACAGTAGTTATCATAGAAGAATGTCACGAGAAATATCTACCACATAGTTTCCCAATCCTTTTTGGCTCATCGCCGCCTTTCTAAGTTTTTTTTGTTCAACGCTCTCTTCGCGGATAAACTGGTAAATTGGGTAACCGGCAAACTATCTCTAAATAAAACAACAAAAAGAAAATTACACAGAAACAAATAAAAAATATTACTCACGCAGCGGTGCTCCGCGCGCGAAATCATGCACGAATGTCCGCGCTCTATTAATAAACCTGACAAAACATGCACAAATGCATTTACTTCGATCATTCTGTACAAGAAAACGTTAGCCGAAAAAAATTCCACATAAAAAAACAAACTTTACATATCATACCACTTAAATCAATATGTATGGAGGGTGATTGATTGACATGTGTAATTTGATTCTTGTAAAAATCCGCATAACTGTAATATTTATATAATTAAGTGTTTGTTTAGAAAATATTTAGGGGATTAAATTTCTCTGACGTGTTCTTTTGCCCACTTGCTCCTGAACGTCCTCCTACTGCTCTTAAGACTAGCAACGCCCCCCTAGATTTCCTCAGCGCCCATCGGGAGGTGATAACGCCCACGTTGGGAATCTAAGATCTACCATATACAATGCTACATTTTTAATTGTGGAATATGGCGTCCGATTTTCACGTCTATGTAACGATTACTTCAAACTCTGTCAAAGAAGCGATGTATACAGAGAAGGAATGATTTTGCTGAAAGATTAAAAATTTTGGTAGATGCAATTCTCTCTCTCTAAAAATAATTTTGTTGAACCATTAA